AAGCCAGTGGAAATATGGTAGTAATAGGTCTTCTTGTTGTGTTTCAGCATTTAATAATAGACTTTGGACGTAGACCCTGGTTTAAATCTAAGTCTAGTTTGAGGAAATCACTTAACCTTTATTTAAAAGACTGGATTTAATAAGCTGTGTAACTGGGACTCAATGATCAGTTACCCGAAGTTCACTCTAGATGGCACAAACCACCCCTCAGGGAATAAACCCTAAGACATCACTCATGGAGGACTTCAATTATTTAATGTTGAACTATTTTGTCCTCTCTGGCTGTAAAACTTGACAGTCATGAAAGGTAAGGCAAATTTTAAGTGGGTTAAGTTTTAAAATACACATCTACTCATTTTCTTTAAAAAGAAAAAATACCAAAATACCTGGGGGGTATTAAAACTGGGCATTTTAAATTCTGTTTAACCAGAGAAACCTGCTCCAGCAATTTTCCAGTGTTGAAATAGGAAGAAAAATAGTTTCCTTAAACATGCCAGTTTAGTGGGAATGACCTATCATTCAGCAAGTAGTTGATGGTCCCCGATGGCCCCAAGGTCTGCAAGGCTGGACTGTCCACTTTTCCTCCTCACTACCAGCACTGGCTGCTGCTACTGAGAAAGGCACAGTGGACTCATGTGTGTCATGACTTTAATGGTTAGCTACAGTATGCATACACATACAAGAAGTAGGGGAGCTGAAGCCCGGGAAAAGGCTACAAAATACAACACAGGGACCAATACATTTGCAAAACATTCAAAACCCTTTTATAAAAGGGCTGTATTGGTCCTTTCAACTTTGTCATTATTCAGCTTAGCCTGTATGGCCATTCAGTGGGGTAATGGGGAGAACAATTAATGAGATTTAGTTCCCTTTCCTATATTCCCACTGTTTTTAAGTTTCAGAAGAGGGATGTAGGGGTGAGGGTAGGGGGTGGGCTTTAGGCCTGGTCTGGTTTCCCTTTATATAAAGAGCTGACCCCCATCTCATGCGGCTGAGGTGTGTAATCCCCAAAATAAGTAAGATGGTACAAATGCAGTCAGCTTTGGAATGGGTTTGGGTAGAGAAAAACAGAAACTCATGGGATTCCAATTGTGAGCCCTTCCCATGTTCCCAGACATCAAATTCTAGCACATCCACATTTTTAATAACTTAGTGATTTTTAAGGTCCCCTGTCCACATTAAAAAAATAAGTTACATAATATTCAAACTGGCTTTTTGCTATTCTTTGGGACACCAGGAATGTCAGAGGACATGGAGCTATGCCCTCAGACAAGTGCATGGCATCAGCTGCCTCTTTATTACAAGGTACCAGTTTATGTACTTGCCTTGGACACAGCTTGCACAAAGCCAAGAAGTTCCAGACAAAGGTTTTCTCTTTCATGTATTTACACAAGTTCAAAATGATATTCACAGCATCTTCTAAATTTTGGCCAAGAGTCAAAAAAATGCATTTAAACTTTGGAACGTGCCCACATAAGACAGGAGGCTGATCCCAACAGTAGTTGGGGCAGATACCCGCAAACCAAAGGGCTGGGAAAGTCAGGAAGAGCTGAAAGGATTCTTCAGTCAGTTTGTGAACTCGGTGCAGTGAGACCTCTAGGCTGATACACGTACAACGGAGATGCAGTTTCATCTAACTGGCACCTGTCCCTTCCATTACTTGCTGGGCCTGCTTCTGTCCCATGCAGCACTGTGCAACCGACTGGAATAACCTGAAGGATGAAGACAGTTACAAATCTGTGATTAAAGAGTAGGCCTAACAATACCCTGCATCTCATTCAACTACTAATCACTGACCCAACCTAGAGACAAATAAGGTTTTCAGTCTCCAGTCTCATTCCTAGACAATTAAAAATTACTTTGAACTCACTTTTCGATTTCTGGGGCACAGTGTACAAATTCATGGTTCCAGAACTTAAACGCTGGGTTTTTAATCAGCTCAATGAAGGTAATAAGAAGACCCCAAGGATGTGGCCTATTTACAATCAACCGTTCCAAGAGAACTCTGGGAAAGGGGAGAAAAGAGCTAGTTAATGCACCGAAGCATACAAATTCATGATGATTCTTCCATTACCCTTTTTTCTAACTTCTCCCTGATTATTAAACCACAGGCAAAAGTTTTCACCTTTAGTAGTAAAGACAAGTGGATTAATCAATATACTCCAAATGGCATGGGATGGAATACCTGGGTTTGAACCTTGCTCTTAGCCCTAGAAGACTAAGTATTAATGTAAAGTACAGATAATGGTATCTACCTCAGAACTGTTCAGAATAAGGGGTCATGGGGGAGAGGAAGCCACATAAAGCCCAGAGTACATGGCACACAAAGTTAGTACAAAAAGTAGTAATTTCCAGAATAAGCTCCCAGGCCAGGCATAGTGGCTCATGCCTGTAATCCCAGCACTTTGGGAGGCTGAGGCAGGTGGATCACCTGAGGTCAGGAGTTCAAGACCAACCTGGCCAACATAGTGAAACCACGTCTCTGCTACAAATACAAAAATTAGGCATGGTGGCACATGCCTGTAATCCCAGCAGTCGGAGGCTGAGGCAGGAAAATCACTTGAACCTGGTAGGTGGGAGGCTGTGGTGGGCCGAGATCATGCCACTATACTCCAGCCTGGGCGACAGAGACTGTCTCAAATAAATAAATAAGCAAGCAAGCTCACTCTCAATGAAAAGTAAGGAAATAGAAAATAAGAATTCTAACACTGCAGGCTAGACTCGGTGGCTCACACCTGTAATCCCAGTACTCTGGGAGGCTGAGACGGGTGGATCACAAGGTCAGGAGTTCAAGACGAGTCTGGCCAAGATGGTGAAACCCCATCTCTACTAAAAATGCAACAAATTAACCAGGTGTGGTGGCAGGTGCCTATAATCCCAGCTACTCAGGAGGCTGAGGCAGAGAATTGCTTGAACCCAGGAGGAAGAGGTTGTACAGAGCCAACATTGAGGCATTGCACTCCAGCCTGGGCGACAAAGCGAGACTCTGTCTCAAAAGAATTCTAACATTGCTAGTGCACGTGTAAATTGGTAAAATTTTTCTGAATGCCAGTATTGGCTTTTATATCCTTTCATGTACCAACTGTACATGAAGCATAACAAAGATTACAAGCCCAAGGAGACTTACTGCAGCTTTATATAAACAAAATGGATCATCATCATCTAAGCATCCAATAAGATATTAAATTTTAGTACACAAATCAAAGGAATACCATATTTAGCATCATAGGTATTATTAGGCAAATGAGCAAGTTTTAAGAGTCTAGCCCAATTTTTAAAGTGTTTGTGTGTGTGTATATATATATATCACAATCTCTCTAATGCTATATATAGTCTAGGCAATCCGGCAACAGATTCCTAACTATTGTTATTTCCTGTTATTGCTACTGCTTTCAACCCAGAGGTAATGAGGAAAAGTCCAGGGTCCTTAACACAGTCTTCCATAGGCATGCATGATTTACGACTGGTTATCACCACCAACTCAGAGAAACTCCTGACCTTTAATCAAAATGTGCCTTGTGGTGTAAACTACTTTTCATTTAAGCCATGATTACGATTTATAATTCTCTACTTGTGATTCATGTTCATCAGAATGAGTATTAGGAGGGCAGCAACCATCCCCATTTTGCTCACAATTGTATCCCACATTTAACACATTATTGGACATGTAAAAGATTTTCACTGAAGGCCAGGTGCACTGGCTCACACCTGTAATGCCAGCATTTTGGGAGGCTGAGGTGGGCAGATCACTTGAGGTCAGAAGTTCAAGACCAGCCTGGCCAACATGGTGAAACCCCGTCTCTACTAAAATACAAAAATTAGCTGGGCATGGTGGCAGATGCCTGGAATCCCAGCTACTTGAGAGGCTAAGACACGAGAAAGGTTGAACCTGGGAGGTGGAGGTTGCAGTGAGCCAAGATCGCACCACTGCATTCCAGACTCAGTGATAGAGCAACACTCCATCTCCCAAAAAAAAAAACACCCAAACCAACCAAACAATAGATTTTCACTGAACACTGAAAGCATAGAGAATTTAAAAAAAAAAAAAAAAAAAAAGAATTTAAGATGAAAGGAAGGAAACCCTTTTGAAGCATTTAAAAAAATAAGCTGCTTTCTTACCTTGTGATCTGTTCTTGGATGGCTTCCGTATTGGCCTCTGCAAAAAGGTACAGCATGGTGCAACTGAAGTAGTGTGTGTGGCTATTTGGGTACCGGAGCTGATTTGCAATTGCATTCAAAAAGAGATAGCGACCTAGAAATTAAGAAACCTTGACTTAGGACTTAGTCTGAAAGGCCAACATGGGAAAACAGTTCTAACTGGCTAGGGTTTGGGTTTCTGACAGAGGCTTTCAAATTAATCTTTGGTTTAAAGCAGTGGTTCTCGGGACCCCGAAGAGTTCTCATTTCTGTGAGTTTAATTTCAGTATTTTCCACATTAGAAATTAGGTTTTTTTAAATATTCATTTTTAAAAACAGACCCACTATATGCTAATATAAGTAACATGAACTATTTTCTGGTGACACTCATCACTATGTTTTTCTACATTTTGCAGATCTCTAAGTCTTGCTTAATAAAAGACAACTGGATTTTCATTTCTGCTTCTGTGTTCAACTTGTTACAGTATATTTCATGTAACCTCTGAGAAATTCAACTGTACACATGACAAAATAGACCCAAAAATGTAAATGTTGTTTTATGATGAAAACAGTTTTGGGCCGGGCGGGGTGGCTCACGCCTGTAATCCCAGCACTTTGGGAGGCTGAGCCAAGTGGATCACTTGAGGTGAGGGGCTCAAGAACAGCCTGGTCAAGATGGTGAAACCCCCTCTCTACTAAAAATACAGAAAAATAAGCTGGGCGTGGTGGCATGTGCCTGTACTCCCAGCTCCTCGGGGCTGAGGCGGAAGTTGTGGTGAGCTGATATTTAGCCACTGCCTTCCAGCCTGGGTAAGAGAGCAAGACTCTATTGCTTTTAAAAAAAAAAAAAAAAACGGTTTTGACACCCTTTTTTTTTTTTTGTCACAGCCCTCCTAAAAAGGTCTTGACACCCTAAGGGTACCCAGCCCACATTTTGAGAACCATTAATCTAAACTACATTGGAGTAAGTATTATCTTAATTTGGTTTGGTTGTCTGCCTCTGCTTGACATTACTCGTGTTTGTGAGTCTATCACAGTGACATGTTTCTCTAAAGGCTTCCGTCCTTTTATTGCCGAGCTCTGGACGTGATGGTATTCAATTTTGTTTTATCTTGAATTTAAGCTGTGTTAAATCCATCCCACATACAGGCATGCAGCATATATGCAACAATAATGTATCTCTCAAGTTAAAGAGTAGTGTCCCCCTAAAATATATGTATGCAAAAACTGGACAGGACTGCACAACTAGTTAGCACCTAACTGGGGTCTCTATTATATAAGATACACATAGAGGACCAAAATAAATGTAGCTCAAGTGGAAAAGCTGCAACCTGCAACAGGAGTTATACTGTGAGCTTTTTGCAGAACAGGAGAGTCCTATTCATTAATCTTCATATATGAACATTTAACAAGATACCTGCCAAACGGGCACCAATAAAAATGCTATTATATAAGGCAGCCTAACAAAACAACGTAACAAGAGCCTATGTTTAAAGGAACTTTAAGTTTATTTTCACACTGAAAAACTTCAGTCACATACACCAAAACTGATACTGCATGATTCTGGATAATTCTTTCCTTTATGCTTTTTTGTATTTTCTGCACTGAGCAGATAATGTCCAATTAAAGATAAAATAATCAGCCAGACCTGTGAATAAATATACTGACAGAACATGACTTCAACTATTGTGGCTTGAAGCATTTTTACATTTTTGTGATCAGACTGTAGCAAAAAGCACAGAGAACTCTACTCTGAAAACTGGCAGGCTTCACTCACCCTCAGTGTCCAAGTCCACAGCCAAATTCTGGAAGATATCCATGTGTGCTGAGTGAGTGATGGTGCTCATTGAAGGCGTGCTGCCCTTGTTGTGGATGTGTGCAATGGCCTGAGTCCCGACATAGAGCACCAGTGCATTGATGAGCTGGAGGTTGTAGCGATTCCCAGGTTCATTGGATACCTTAACATGAGCAAAAGAGAACTCTTTATGCTTACTCCTGCAGAGGACCAATTCTAGCACCAGTATTTCTAAACCCTTCTTACACCTTCATGGAAAGGCTAAACATTTATGGTGATTCACTTGCTTCAATTTTTGAGATTATTTAACAAATACACAGATGCTCCAAAGGTGGTTGTATCAGTAAGAGAAATGTGATTTCCCTCAGAAAGCCAAAGCTTCTATCACTGTACTCAAGGCACAACTCTAAAGTTTATAAAATCAAAATATGCACTGTGTCAATTAAAGATTTGGAGAGAAAGTTGTAGTTGCATGGCATATACAGATTGTAAATATATAACTTTCAAAATACCCTACAGAGAAATGTAAATCAGCATCCACATATTCAGAAAAACCCTGGAAGTACCAACAGCTAATGACTGTTTGTGGTCTACTCTTATAGGGCTGTCTTGTCCAAAGCTGTAGCAAAATATCACTGATGAAATGAACTAGTAAAATACATAAATCCAGTGAACCTCACCCAACTGATGGAAATGACAATAAAAGACTAACTCCCAAATGGACCACACACAGAACCATACATAGAAAGTGCTTTCTATGGAAGACATAGCTGAGTTTTAAGCCAAACCAATTAACCTGTAGGTTGCTGCGCAGATCAGACAGAAAAGTGACTGGTGATCGAGTTTTAAGATAGGAATCCAAATCCTTTTTGAACTGAGGTGGCATTACTCCGGTGAAATTGGTGAGAATCCGGGGAGCAATGTTAATTTCACTCAACATGTCCACCTGCCACAGATAAAATGCAAGAATCACAAGCAGAGTCATTTTTATTAGTAAATTACATCTATGCTAAAAAGTGATGGGACTGGTTTTCTAAAACTATATACACTATAAACGCCTTGAAGGGCACAGCTGCCACATTTTACTACTTTAATCAGTCTTTCTTTCTTTAGAAGAATCTTGGTACAAAATGATAAGAATTTCTCACTCCATAATGTTTTTCCTTTCCAGAAGCAAGATACCTTTTGGGCAAAGGTCTAATTTGCACAACTGACTGACTTTTCCTGGACTTAGATTTCAAAATAATAATCCAGAATAACATTCCTCACCAAGAGTCTTTGAAAAGAAGCCCCAGCAAGACAAGACATCACACTTACTCCTTTAAAAAAAAAAAAAAAAAAAATGAAGCCGGGCGTGGTGGCTTACGCCTGTAATCCCAGCACTTTGGGAGGCTGAGGCGGATGGATCACCTGAGGTTCAGAGTTCGAGACCACCCTGACCAACATGGAGAAACCCCGTCTCTACTAAAAATACAAAATTAGCTGGGTGTGGTGCCTGTAATCCCAGCTGCTTGGGAGGCTGAGGCAGGAGAATCGCTTGAACCCAGGAGGCAGAGGTTGCAGTGAGCCGGAGATCGTGCCATTGCACTCCAGCCTGGGCAACGAGCAAAACTCTGTCTCAAAACAAAAACAAAAAAATGCATGTGACAGAGACTACATTTAAACTATAGCTGGGCTCTTCTAGTGGCGTGCACCTCTAGTCCCAGCTACTCTGGAGGCTGAGGCAGGAGGACAGCTTGAGGACAGGAGCCTGAGGCTGAAGTGCACTATGTTCGCACCTGTGAATAGTCACTGCCCTTCAGTCTGGGCAACACAGCGAGAACCCCCTCTCTTAAACAAACAAACTATAGTAGCCATGTCAGACTGTTGAGATTTTAAGTGGTCCTCTCTCTCCTTTATTCCAATGACTTAAAAAAATACAGTGGGTTCTCCATACCCTTAGGTTCCATATCCAATTAACCTCAAATAGAAAATATGGAGGATGAAGGTAGAGGCAGATGATGGGGTCAATAAAAAATAATGCAACAATAAAGGCCAGGTATGGTGGCTCATGCCTGTAATCCCAGCACTCTGGGAGGTCAGGGCAGGCAGATCATGAGGGCAGGAGTTTGAGACCAGCCTAGACAACTAGTGAAACCCCGTCACTACTAAAAATACAAAAAAAAATTAGCCAGGCATGGTGGTGGGCACCTATAGTACCAGCTGCTTGGGAAGCTGAGGCAGGAAAATCACTGGACCCCAGGAGGCAGAGGTTGCAGTGAGCCGAGATTGCGCCACTGCACTTCAGCCTGGGCAAAAGGGCAAGACTCCATCTCAAAACAAATAAATAAATAATAAAATAATACAATTAAAAACCACAAATTTTAGTAAGTTACTAATATAGTTTAAAATAGTTACTTCCATAATAGCATTACACTACATTAGGTATCATAAGCAATACAGATGTCATTTAAGGGGATACGCAAAGGTTATATGCCACTTTACATAAGAGACTTAAGCTTACTTAAAATTCGGTGTCCCAGTGGGTCCTAGAACCAATCCTCCAAGAATAGCAAGGGACCAAGGAACAACTCGCACAAGCACACAGATACACAAAACTGTGAAATATGGAGACTATGGCAGGGAGTGGTGGCTCATGCCTGTAATCCCAGCACTTTAGGAGGCCAAGGCAGGCAGATCACTTGAGGTCAGGAGCTTGAAACCAACCTGGCTAACAAGGCGAAACCCCATATCTACTAAACACATACAAAAATTAGCCAGGTGTGGTGGCGCGTGCCTGTAATCCCAGCTACTTGGGAGGCTGAGGCGGGAGAATAGCTTGAACCAGCGAAGGGGAGGTTGCAGTGAGCCAAGATTGTACCACTGCACTCCAGCCTGGGTCACAGAGTAAGACTGCCTCAAAAAAAAGAAAAAGATTACAAAGGTCTGTTTGTTCTGCAATTCTTTGCCATGGGGGGCACACCCAGCAAATGACTGCCCCAACACCTAAGCTGGGGTTCTGTAAATAGAGCTAAATTTAATATCAAAATTAATATGAAAACTAGCAATTAGAAAAAGGCTGTGAATCAATATTCACCAGCAACAGCAACAATATCATACCCTGTATCAGGCTTAATAACATGATTATTTCCTTTAAAGGGTACCCTTAACAGTATGCATGTTATATGGGTAGGGAAGTACGGAACAGTCTACTTATCAGAGAAAGGACTGAAATACTAAGACACAAGTTTTCCTTTAACTAGTTAGAACCTTACCTTTAGATTAGGAGTGAATGGGTCGGGGAGCCTCATGTTTCTTGGAAAGGCACTCAGGATCAAATTTCTTAACTGGATACAATTAGGTGGGATCACATCACAGAACCCATAATGGTAATCACAAAGGAACTCTGGGAAATCATGCAAAAGAACCAGCAGCACTCTTAAAGTGCCCTATTTTTAAAAAACAAGAAAAATATTTCCACACTAAGTAAGGAAAATGGAGTAACATTTTCCTATTATAACGTTAAGCCCCCCCACACACACAAAAAGAATAAAGTATACTTTAGTAACATTTCTTAAAAAGTTTTAGGCTTTAATTAACATTATCACAGACGATTTATCAAATATTTCCATTTACGTATGACGAAAAACTAGGCATCAGTAGTTTACAGGCTGAAATGAATATGCTAGAAGAGGAGGCTGGACGAAAAACAAAGATACAATGATGTAATAAGCATCTATCTTCAGAAGCTTTCAAAAAAAAAAAAAAAAAAACTAACGAAAATCAAAGCAGAGTAAAAGCGTATAATAAATTTTTTAAAGTACCAAAAGGGGGAAAATCAAAGCCCAAGATAGTTATTAGAAAAAATAAATTGATAAACCCTAACCAAGACAGAGAAAACACAAAAATCATTAATGTGAGGACACATTACAGATCCTACAGTCATAAAAAATAGTTTCAGAACATTAAATGATTTTATGCTCATAAATCTGACAATTCAGATAGGTGGAAAATAGAACATCTTAGCATGTTGAGACACGCAAAGATTTCCTACACGTCACAAAAAGCAACTTTTAATAAAAGTTTAAAAATCTGCAATTTTGACTACAATAAATTTTAAAGCTTCCGATCCTCAAAAGACACCTCCCCTTTAAGGGAGTAAAAGGGCAAGCTGTGAGAATGGGAGATGTCTGAATATACAGTAACAAAGGGCTTGCATTTAAAACATATAAAGAATTATTTAATAAATAAAAATACAAACAAGAGCCAAGACTGGAAGAGGAGCACCACAAAAAGGTGATATCCATGGCTGATCTACACATGAAAACCTCATTAAGGAATCATCAAGGAGGCTGGGTGCAGTGGCTCAGGTCTGTAATCCCAGCGCTTCAGGAGGCTGAGGCGGACCGATCACTTAAGGTCAGGAGTTTGAGACGAGCGTAGCCAACATGATGAGACCCCATGTCTACTAAAAATACAAAAAGTTAGCCAGGCGTGGTGGCACATGCCTGTAGTCTCCGCTACTAGGGAGGCTGAGGAACAAGAATCACTTGAACCTGGGAGGCGGAGGTTGCAGTAAGCCGAGATCACGCCACTGCACTCCAGCCTGGGTTTCGGAGTAAGACTGTCTCCCCCCCGCAAAAAAAAAAAAAAAAAAAAAAAAGGAGATAAATCACCAAGGAAATTAAATCCACAATGCGATCTCACAATACAACTGCCAAAATGGCTAAAATGAAAAACAGACAATACCAGGTATGGCAAGATGTGGGGAAAAAGAGTAACTCCTCTGTGCTGTGTAAAAGTGTAAACTGATACAAACACTTTGTAAAACTGTAGTATCTTCTAAAGTTGAACATACAAACACTGTACAATCTGGGTGCTGATTATGCAAGTACACTTGGTTTTTACACTTTTCTGAATGTATGTCTTGCCTTAAAGGCTTAATAAAAAGAAAATAAGGCCTCAGATTCCTGAAGTGTATTTTTAAGATCTCAGTTATTTTAATTTGTAATAAATACAAGTTAATTACCTTGTAGAGGATTTGCATAGGTTTGGTGAGTTCCACATTTCTAAGGAAAGGCGCTAAATATTTGAATAAATCAATCAGTAGCTGTGCATACATAGGCCACCCCTGAAAGAAAGAAATGTATGAGTCATAATTATACTCAGCTGTTTTTCAGCCACTACAAGTTGCCCAAGCAGCTACACTGACTTAACTTCTTAACAGAGGAAGTATCTCTACTAAAGATCAGCATTTAAGGCCAGGCACAATGGCTCACGCCTGTAATCCCAGCATTCTGGGAGGCTGAGTGCCGCTGGATCACCTGAAGTAAGGAGTTTGCGACCAGCCTGGCCAACATGTTGAAACCCCGTTTCTACTGAAATACAAAAAATTAGCCAGGCGTGGTGGTGGTCACCTGTAATCCCAGCTACTCCAGAGGCTAAGGCATGAGAATTACTTCAACCTGGGAGGCAGAGGTTGCAGTGAGCCGAGGTCGCGGCACTGCACTCCAGCCTGGACAACAAGAGCAAAACTCCGTCTCAAAAAAAAAGAAAAGAAAAGAAAAAAGATTGGCATTAAAAAGATTAAAAAGGACCAAGTTATTACAGAGATAGTGGGAAATAATATTTGAAACAAACTGGCTCCAGAGATTTCAAGACATAATGGTCCCTGTGTACCTGCAGCAAAATTTAAAAATTTAGAGAGGAAACTTCTGATAGAACACAAAACAGTCAACTGCAGAAACTGACAACTAGAAATGTGTTTTCTTAATTCCTTATTAAGTCTCGGCCATTTCTTTTCCCTCTTTCAACTCCTCAACTCTTCGCGAATAACCTTGTTGAGTCCACATGAATTCTCTATTTTCAGCCAAAGTCAGCCTGCTCACCCTCCCCCAACTATACCAATTATGTTCAATTAATTCTTCGATAACTGTATTTCATATGTTGTGTTTCTTCCTCCTAGAATACCCTTCTCCACCAAACAAAACCAATTTCATTTAAGAGCTATTTCACCTTCTGTCAAGTTCACTCCATTACATAGCAGTCACATTTCTTCTGATCTGAGGGGCCAAAAAATGGTACTTTCTGCAGTACTCATTTGCCAATTTAATTTCAAGATGGGAGGAAAAGAACTTCTCATGTTAACTGTGTTGTATTACCAATTAGATAAAGAACTTTTAAATAGAACTGGATCATAATCCTTCAAAATAACATAGCCCAGTAGTCCTCAACCTTAGTTTGAGCCTTCCGCATTTAAAGTGAGAGTCTGTAAAATCAACAAGTTCCAGAGCCCTATTACCCAGAGATTTATTCAGATATTTATGAGGGCACACATGGATTTCAACTTTAAAAACAACACCCCTACCACCCCAAAAAACCCCTTAACTG